AAAAGTTATAAAACAACAAGATTATGGTTTTAGCAATACAAACAAATATACAAACGCACACACACACAGCCAGACACAGAGGACAGATAAACGGACAAACACATGCACGTGTGTGTGGCTGTGTGTGTGTGTCTGTGTTGCCTGCTCATTTTGACCAAAGCTTGTGATGATATTGACCAAGACCAACAGCAGAAACTTGCAGCCGCAACGACGGGCGCTTGTTGCTGATTCGTCTGAACGAAATTGGAGAATGAGTGGCTGGGAAAGAGGATGGTGGGGATGGGGTGGGGTGGGGTGGACTGGGCTGGGCTGGGATGGGATAGGATAGGATGCTTAAAGGAGCACAGGAAGGATGCTGAGCCGGCGGCTGGTTAATTATTTTGTTCCTTGCTGTTGTCGTTCTCGTTGTTGTTGTTGTTGTTGTTGTTGGTGTTGTTGCAGCGAAAAGGCAAGATTAGCAAAATTAGGCACATTAAATCTATTATCAGACATGTTTATCTCCAGTTAAGTGTCAATTTGGCTGACTTTGGACTTTGGCCCCCACAAACTTTGACTTTCCGTGAACGGAACGGAACGGAAGGGAAGGGCACGGCACGGACGGTCGGCTTCCCGAGATCGACGGAAGCAAGAAACAAGTTTCGGAAGTATTGGGTTTGTTTTAATTTCCAGCACAACTAATTGTTCGAATCGATTAAATCAAGTGCGGTTTCTATTTAAAGCAAATTGAATTAGCACGTAAAACAAATATTTCCTAATACAACTTAATTAAATTTTACACTCAAACGCAAATCAACTTTAACAATTAATATTGATAATGTTTTTCTAGCGATCCAGATTTAGTTAAATAACTAATTGTTCGAATCGATTAAATCAAGTGCGGTTTCTATTTAAAGCAAATTGAATTAGCATGTCAAACAAATATTTCCTAATACAACTTAATAAAATTTTACACTCAAACGCAAATCAACTTTAACAATTAATATTGATAATGTTTTTCTAGCGATCCAAGCATAGAATTGAATAGAAGTAATATTAAAGCTGCAAGTCGCCGAATACAGAAACTCTAGCACCCTCCGTTTAGCCCGAGCTTTTTCTATCATTGGCATCAGATCAGATGTTTCCTTGATCGCTTCAATCACAGCAGCGCATTAGTCGACATTAGTAATGGTTTCAATACCTTTAAGGAGGCTATTACAAGTATCAAATTTTAAATGCATTTATATCAATTATTGCTTATGTCAAATAATCGCAAATCAAATGTGGATCAACGAAATAAACTCAAAAAAAAAAAAGGCTGGCCTATGCGCCTAACATAACCCAAAGAAATCTAACAAAATCTAATGTGACGTAACATAACTTTGTGGTAGCTTAACCTACTCTGACCTAATCTAATCCTTATGATCTTAATCTAGCTATCTAATATTATTTAACCTGAAATGAATTACATCAAATAACGTCTATCTGGATGACCGTCTGTCTTTCGGAAACGACTGGGCCCGCATTGGCGGATTATTTCATAATTCCAAATCTACAAGTACATACACAAAATCCAAATTCAAATAGGCAAGTCTTTTATTTCTTCGTCTTATTTTTGCATCTAATAACACAGCTTTGGATAATTTCACGTAGCACTTATTTCATTATGAGCTTTAATTTAATTTTAGTTTTTAAATGTGGCAACCAAAGAGGTAAAAATAAAACACCTTCTAATGTGCGTGCAGGGTATTCATAAGTCGGTCACGCTCTACTCTAGCATTTGGAATTTGTCGAAAGGGCGTTTTGAGAATGCATGTATTTCTACGTTTAAATTATTATGATTTATTTTGTATTGTACGATGCTGAAAACGCCAAACAATAAAAGTTGTAGAGCTTTGATTAACCTTTCAACAATGTTTCCCTTCGTGAATGCATTTCAATGCCCTTTTAATCTAGAACAAACGCAAACTTAATTTGCCACAATATCTTAACTGGAGCTGGCAACGACGACGTCACTTGGCACATAATTTAATTACAAAAACACGTTGGGTGCGAGCGGCAAACGACTTTGGGTGGCTGAGGGGAGGAGGGGAGGCTGTCGAGAGCTGTGGAAATTGTTGCTTTGATGTTCAGCGCCATTCGGCAAGTGGCAGGAGCGGCAGTGGCAGTGGCAGTAGCAGCAGCGGCAGTGGCAACACTCACTCAACTCGAGTGTTGAATGAGCAACAACTTTCGAGTGCAACACGTTCTGAATTGTAATTAGTGTCCGTGTCCGTATCCGTGCCCATGTCCGTGTCCGTGTCCGTATCCCAAGGCCAGACCCAGACCCAGACACAGGCCCAGTACCACTCGTAGACCCTCTGTGAGAGTTGCCAATAGTGTAGCTACATTGCTGAGTCAATTGCCTGCTCGGCCGCCAGTCGCGTTCGGCAACAACAGAAGCAGTAACTGAAGAAGGCGCAGCAGCCAAGAGGGTGAAGGCAGGACAGGAATCCGTTCCACTCCGGCTGGAGCTCGCTTGATTTATCGGTCGCGCATTTGTAATTGTTATTACGTGTAAATGCGATGGCGCCAGTTAGAATTATGATGTAGTTCCCTGCATAAATTCGTTATCGGCGCTAATTGTCTAAACGTCTTCCACGTGATTTAATACGGCCATCCCTTCGAATGGAAAAGAGAGGGCACTCTAATAGTACAAAATATTCGTTTAACCCCCCACATTGTTTGGCTTTCGATTTTACCCAATCATTGGGGGCTCTGATATGTTTATGTTTTAAATATGATTATATATATATATATATATATATATATATATATATATATATATATATATATACAATTATGATTTGATTAGAACTCCTTGAATACAAAAGCACAGATTTTCCGATTTGCTTAAACAGTACTTAGTTTAAACTACACATGAATTGAAAATTAAGCCACGTAAACCCATATTTTCTCGATTCATTCTACTTTTTGTGATCAAATTACTGAACATTTTTAAGGACACAACTTTTAAAAACTAACTGTTCACATATATTTAAATAATAAATAGGTTGAAAATATTTTATAATAATAACGGCCTGTTTTTTCATTCTATCAATTGGCTCTCGAAAGGTGTAAAGTATTCCTTAAGAAATATTTTCTGAAAATAAAAAATTCCTTATCGATAGATAAATACAATAATATTCTCGCGATACACAGATTAATATTTACTAGAAACAATAGACACATTTTGTATAAAATCTAAAATAACTGTTCTGAAAACTAGGCCACAATTTACTTTATATCAGAAACTTTTTCCAAAAATAAGAACATTTCGCTGTATGCAGTGAAATTATTTTCATACATTGCACTTTAACAAAGATTAAAAAGATTAAAATAATATAGTTTTTAATCAAATCTGACATCTCATATTAAGTATAAGACTACAAAATTCAAAAAATTCGGTAAAAAAAAAACACAATGCTGTCGAAAATGGCCAAACATTTTTATTAGGTCAGCAATATGAGAATATTTGAATAGAATAAAACATTTTATAAAGGATTGTTAAAACATAAATGTCTTTATATTTAGCATTAAAAACAATTACACAAGTCAGGTTTACAGCGATAAAATGTTTTTAAACATATGCGGGTTGAGGCAAGTGATCTATTTGCAAAAATTACTGATCCCAATAATAAACTTTTGACATACATATCAGACTTGTCCGTCTGTCCTTCTGTCTGTCTGTATGAACACTGAGTTCTTATGAACCAAAACATCTAATGACACCGAACTTAGTATGTAGACTAGTCTTATACATAAGCAGAGTAAGATTATTAAATACCATATACAGTTCTATGTTTAATATAGCCTGCATAGCTTTAGAATATAAAGCTTAGTACCAACAACTTTTTTGTTTATTATGATATATTCACAAATTGTTTTTATGAGTATTTCAAAGTGCCGCCCCATAATCTGATGTTTTAGCATACTCGATTAATGTGTATTATAAAGTAGTCGTGCGGGGGCTATTTGATTTATTTAGAGCAACATTTTAATAGTTACATCGACTTGACTTTACGATCACAAAAAGCTCTGCACAAGAAAGGCGGAATTGTTTTTAATCGGGCCTCGCACAGTTCCAAAGCTGCGAAAATTGCGAACAAAACAGAATACGCGAAAGTAACGGTAATGCGGCCATGACATTAAAACTGTTTTAAATGCAGCATCGAAAAAATTCCAGTCCGCGCAACTTTGCTAAAACATGCGCATAACAGATAAAAAGTTAAGCTTAAGATCCTGATAGTCATAGCTATTCAAACACTGTTGTTTTAACTTAGAGCTAGCATTAGTAAATAAATAAATCAGATAAAAAGTCATTTGATGGTTATGTAAATGTAATGATTTCTTAAAATTCTCACAAAAAATTAAGGAAGCCAAATGAAACAAGGGACCTCAGCATAAATTATAAGTGCTATATATACATATGTATAGTATTTTTATTTAAAATTTTTAAAGACGTCATATGTTCTGAAGTAAGTGTGAAGGTCATTGGCTGCCATTCCCCAAGTCGGCATTAAATCTGCAATTAACAAATTGTATGGCCATGCCTATGGAAAAATGTAAACGGCTCGGCTGTTTTTTATTGTCCGCAGCTAAAAAGCCGATTGTAAGCAAAATTGCATACTTAGTACACGAGTATGTATGGTAATGCGTATGTTATTGTTTTTGAAAAATAAAAGGAGAAGTGGGAGGCATGTGGCACCTACGGCAGTGAAGCTGGAAAAAAATTCTAAAAATATACGTTAAGGTAAGAACAAACAGGTCGCACTTTAGGAAAACTACCAAGTCGGCAACCAGTCCGGATGGGGTACAATAAAATTTAAAGAGGATCGTGTAAAAATGCAGAATCACGGCTGCCAGTCAACAGCTTTTAGAACCTATAAATGCTAGGGACTCGTGCCAAGACCGAGATAGTAGTGCGCAGGATCTGCATCTGGAAGCACACAAGAGCCCGGCTGCCAGTAGCAGAATTATACAAAATGCAACAAAAGATCTGCAAGTGCCTGCTGGTGGTGCTGCTTATAGGTGAGCGAATAAATAAAAATACAATAATAATTAATGCGTATGGGCTAGCTGCCAATCGTGAACGGAGCAGGCAAGCCATCTTACAGTTACATGCAAAGCAATTAGCTGAAAATTTCTCTTGCACCCGCACCACAGCACACATCAAGTATGCCAGTAGCAGCTATCGAAACCGGTTGGGAGACTGCGAACCGTTTACCATTGAGTTCATCGCAGGACTGATTCAAAAGAAGGCGCGTCAACTACTCGAGCCCTTCGCATCACTTCCGTACAAGCGAATGCTTCGCTTCGAGTTGTACACGCGAAAAAATCCACATGATCACCAGGTTTTGCGAACTGGCGACAGGTCACGGCTAACTGGCTCGAACTTCGATGCTGCCTGGCCGGTACGGTAAGTGGGTGAACTGGTCAGAGCTATTGAAGCGATGCAGGCTCAAATGTTCCAACTGCAGGTTTAGCATTCATGGCTGGAATGGACAGACAAGGACATGCTCCAATGCTGCTATAAAGGATGCCTATCTATACAAAGGAAACTTTAATGTGGTGCTGGTCGACTGGAGCGACTACTCCCTGGACATCAATTACTTTCGGGTCATAGCGGAGCTCTTCGAAATGGCCGACCAGATCAACGATTTCGCCCGCTTCCTGCACACCGAAACGGGTGTGCCGTACTCGAAAATGTACCTGATTGGCCACAGCTTGGGCTGCCACTTGGCTGGGATAGCTGGCAAGCGTCTTCGACCAGATAGATATGGCGCAATCTTCGCCCTAGACAGTGCCGGGCCCATACTCAACCATTTGAATGAGACCTGGCATTTGGCGCCCAGCGACGCCATGTATGTGGAATCCATTCAAACAGACCTGAGCTTCTTCGGCTATAGAGGAGCACATTTGGCACATGCCACATTTTTCCCCAACTGGGGACTAGGGCAGCCCCACTGCCCCAACGCAACCGCCATGGAACCGGACTTTGTGTGTGACCATTTCAGCTCCCTCTACTACTTTGTCGAATCACTGCACGACGATAAGGCTTTTGGCGGCTTCAGGTGCAAGAACTTTAAGAGCATAGTGGAACAGAAATGTAGCTGTGGCCATGAGGAATGCGAAGCGCAGGCCTATATGGGTGGGGAGCCAGCGGTTCCAAAACGTGGCATCTATTATTTGAGTACGCGGCCTAAGCGACCCTTTGGCTATGGAAAAACATTCCGAATGAGGCGAGCGCTCCAACCAACAACAACAAGAACACGCTAAGATCCTATTCATCAATGCAGATGCAACCTTATCAGCTACGGGTACATGCCCCTATAATCGACTATTTATTTAAGTTTATTTATGATCACGATTAGGACGAATAAAATATTTGAAATGAAGATTGATAATAATAAAATAAATAAATAATAAAAAAACTATTTAAAGAACTGATTAGAAGAATTTTTAACATATTTGTGAGGGGCTTTCTTTTAAAGTTTAAATGCACATATAGTCGATTATTTATTTATGTTTATTTATGATCACGATTAGGACAAAATAAAATATTTGAAATGAACATTGATAATAAAAAAAATAAATAAAAAATAAACTATATAAAAAACTGATTAAAAGAAATTTTAACATATTTGTGAGGGGCTTTCTTTTAAAGTTTAAATGCACATATAGTCGATTATTTATTTATGTTTATTTATGATCACGATTAGGACAAAATAAAATATTTGAAATGAACATTGATAATAATAAAATAAATAAATAATGAATAAGCTATTTAAAGAACTGGTTAAAAGAAATTTTAACATATTTCTTTTAAAGTTTAAATGCCCATATAATCGATTAAATATTTATGTATATTTATGATCACGATTAGGACAAAATAAAATATTTGAAATGAACATTGATAATAATAAAATAAATAAAAATAAATAAACTATATAAAGAACTGATTAAAAGAAATTTTAACATATTTGTGAGGGGCTTTCTTTTAAAGTTTAAATGTCCATATAGTCGATTATTTATTTATGTTTATTTATGATCACGATTAGGACAAAATAAAATATTTGAAATGAACATTGATAATAATAAAATAAATAAATAATGAATAAGCTATTTAAAGAACTGTTTAAAAGAAATTTTAACATATTTCTTTTAAAGTTTAAATGCCCATATAATCGATTAAATATTTATGTTTATTTATGATCGCGATTAGGACAAAATAAAATATTTGAAATGAACATTGATAATAATAAAATAAATAAATAATGAATAAGCTATTTAAAGAACTGTTTAAAAGAAATTTTAACATATTTGTGAGGGGCTTTCTTTTAAAGTTTAAATGCCCATATAATCGATTAAATATTTATGTTTATTTATGATCACGATTAGGATAAAATAAAATATTTGAAATGAACATTGATAATAATAAAATAAATAAATAAACATTTAAGGAACTGTTTAAAAGAGATTTGAACATATTTGAGAGGGGCTTTCTTTTAAAGTTTAACCAGGTTAGAAGTATAACCACTTTACGACCTTCCAAAATCTTCTCGAATAAGCGATATTTCTCAAATGACAATTCTAAGTGCTTGTTTTACCCGATTCCCAAATAGATTGTCGGTCTCTATACTTGTAGAACTACCGCACTAGCTACCAGTAGTTACTTGCCTCAGTAATCCATGGTCCCACTTGTTCCGAAAAATGTTCTCGTGTCATAATTACAGCACTCTGGACTCAGTGGCTTGTAACCAAATCAGTCAGCTTTTCTACTCCCATAAAGACATTAAGGTAGCAGTCGAAATTAAGTTGCTATTATATAAATTGCAATTTAAATCAAGAACACAACATGCCTTTATTAAGAAGGAAACCCAAATTAATTGGTGTCCATCTACTACTGTCTTCAAATAGTATTTATTCAAAAATATCTGCATAAAATAGTTTGGGTTTTGTTGACCAAATCCGACAGCATATTAAAGACAACAACAGATACATATATTTTAGGCGCTACTTGGCTGTACTTCCCCTGCGCTTAATCCAAATGAGAGAAGTGGAGCTGCGCGTTCACAAATGGGCAACCAAACGGGCTGCCAGCCGGGCGCAAATTTAATAACGAAAACAACATTTTTAGAACTCAGAATATAAATATACCGTGGTACAAAAAAAGGAAATTAACCATATTTGGTAGAAATTCAATTTCAAATTCCACGCACATCTTGCATTAAAGTCGTTGACGTAATTTTAATTTCAAGTACATCTCCAGGTCCGACTCCAAGGACTTCGAACATCCCTGTGCCGTGTTGGTGCCCCCTTTTGCGGCAGCTGTTGCTGTTGCTGCTGCTGCTGCTGCCTCCGGCGAGCTAACCGCCTGGCAATGGGCAAGACGGCGGCGCTTTAAGCCCAAAAAGTGTGCCAATCAAATTGAAATTTAATTTGCACAACAATGTGGGACCCAAAACTGACTTGACCCTTGCCCCACACAGTCGCCAGGGCTAAGCACACAGCAGAATTATTAACCTCATCATATTGTGAGGCCCACCTATTTGGTTATACTCTTTGTTTTGCAACGATTCGTGGCCTGCCTTTTGCACGAGCGCGGACGCCGTCGGCGCGCACGTGATTCGAGACAGGGCGGTGGGCGGAGGCAGGGCAAAGGACTTGAGTAGCGGCTCAGTAGCGGCAGTCCATAAAATTGTGATTTACTCCTGTTGAGATTTCAATTACTGCCGCTTTATTGGCGATAAATTTTCGAATAAATTAGGAAAACGAAAACTTTGTGTAAACGCTCTTCACAGCTCGTCCATCTGCCCATTGGTCCGTTTGTCCAAACTGCCCACCTGACTGACCGACCAACCGACCTTCGCATACCTTTTTCGGATACGGGCTGCCTTAAGTGGCGGACAAGGAAAGGTTAAACAAACCCATACTGACCGGCACGTAGTCGGAGTCGTTGATTGCGTCAAGTGGTTGGGGTTGTCCGTTTGGTGAGCATTAAAAACTGATTTCTATGCAAATAAACATAGAGCTATAGACACAATATAAAGACTGATTTCTAGATACATATGTACATATGTACATACTTGTACAAGGCTAGTCCCAGCAATATGCCGGGAAGAAGTGAAAACTCTTTTGGCCGGACACTCACGGTCGGCCAATTTTTGTCCGCCCAATGGGAGTGTCCGCTTAAAAGGATACTTAAATACTTTATACACCGTTCGAATGTTTTAGAAAAAGTATCCGCCGAAGAGAGTATGCGGATAAACGAGGTGTCCATTAAGGAGTTTTTACTGTATATACATATATGGCTATAACTTCCTGTTAAATCGGCCTATCATAATGACACTTGGCATACGGGCTCATAATCATTAACTGAAGGTATTTTCTGAAATTCCAAAATGCTCACGATCTGTGTATTCATATAAGGGACTAACATTTGGTGTCCCTAGATCTCATAGGCTCTGAGAGGCGATTATACGAATATATATGTATATTAAATAAATTTAATTAATTAAATTAAGTATAAAATATTCAATACATGCATACACACATTTACATACATCAGAATCGTGTCTATGCGTGTTTGTGTACTTGTACATATGTATGTAAGTGTGCATTACATAATTATGTCAAAGCAGCAACAAAAACAGGGGCGGGCAGAGCTTGGGCAGAGCGTCGGCAGAGAGAATATTTATGGGTATAACTTTCTTCATAACTACCCTATCGTAATGAAACTTGACATACGGACTCGGTATCACTGACTCGAGGTATTTGCCAAATCTAAGTACAAAATTTCAAAAAATGGAGGGAAAAAAACACAAACTCGTCCTTTCTCGGACTTAGGAGAATCTGGATACCAAGTTTGGCTATATATACGCACAAAACTAGTATACCCTTTTACTCTTTGGGTACAGGCTGTATAAAAATTTCTAAGCTGAACGAATACGATTTATAATCAGAACAGTAATAATGGCCAATGTTGCAGGCAAAAGAATATAATGCTTAGATGGGAAAGCTATCCTAGAGTTTTTAAATTAGGTTTTAGTTTCTGTACTTGTATTGATTATTTTACAAATGATTTACTACGCCTATTAGTCAACATTTCACAATGTCCTTGGTATCATTAAAATGTCATAAGTTCATCGCTACTATTTGCTTTATTTAGTTACATTCTTTAAATCACAAATGGCCGCCGTCCTTTGGACGTATAACGATCACAATTTTCATGTTCTGTTGTCCCTTAATTTACAAATACTGCGAATCTGAGTAGTTATCTCTAAATTCGAGAAGATGTTCCAACGCCGTCTCGTACTCCTCACGCTCCAGGCCCGCCTGCGAGTAGCTCTGCAGCTTGGCAAGTTGAACGCGATGTGTCTGCGCGTGAAGTGCGTCGATGTGCTCACCCAATCGGCTGGAACTCTGGAGGGCACCCAACGCGGGTGCACTGGCCACCCGGGTGCCAGCATCACGTTGCGCCTCACCTGGCAGCTTGTACCCATCGATGTTAACGTTTTTGTCAAAGAGTTCGTAGGGAAACGGCAACTGCGTTTTAATAGGTAGCACTGTTGATATGACATTGGACAGGCTGTTATGGTAGGCACACTGATAATAGAGCTGAAGCATCTGGGATATGCTGCCGCAGTTATAGGCGGCCATACGAAGCTGTTCACCTGCCTGTTCGGGAGGGCGCTTAAGACGCGAAACGGGAATTCCGCGCGCCACAACTGACTGAACGACATGTGCTGTACCTGGCTCACATTGGGGCGTTATTTGGGTAAGTAATGGCTTCCCACCACGTTGGTCGAGGCACTCAATGAGATCCTGCTTGTCCAGCATGTCCAAGGGCAAGGCAAACGCAGCTGCTGTCAGCTTGCGACCGGCCACACCTACGCGGTCACAAAAGCGGAGCAGCGTCTCGGGTGTCTGGCGCATGCGATAGCTTAGCGAAATGGTGTCAAGATAGGATCCCAGCACAGCCGACGTTTGATAGAGATTGTCCGCTTGCCAGTGCAGGCCGGGCATGTGACGCGACTTCAGCGTGTTGTTGCGCCAAATGCTCTCCAGTGTGGAAAGTGGAGTAAACATTGTGGCATAGTCGCTCAAATGATTGTAGCTTAGCACGGCGTTGACCACGCGAATGTTGTGGGAGGTGCGGGTATCTGTGGATAGCAGAAGCGTTAGCAGTCAGCTACATTTCAGATTAAACTTGTATTACTGCCATTTACCTGCTTGTGCATAGGATAAGTTGCGGGGATAATGCAATGGCACCACGAAGCTCGCACGGCTATATTCATCGTTCAAGTGCTCCAAGCATTTGGTGGCCAGCCCGCTGAAGCCGTCGTCAATGTCGAAAAGCAGCTGGAAGCCCTGCAGCCCATCACACTCCTCCACGTAAAGACGTATGCGATCACAAAAGTCTTCCTCAAAAGATGAAGACCACAGCTCAGCTCCGGCGGTATGCGTGCCAAGCGCCTGCAAATCCGGATTGCTTGTGTATTGATGCAGCACGTTAAGCGTACGCGGGTGATATCGTGCGTAAAGAAAATCCGCCCAGGTTCGACAGGTTTCGGCCAGTTTGTAATCCCTATCAAGCGTGTTAACCGCGCCCATTAAGAGGTCGCGCTGGTACTCGGACATGGGCGTTGGCGGTTCCTCACGCACTTCCACCTTTCCGCTAGTTGAGAGCTGATTGGCCTCCAGCGCCTTTTTGGTGCTCTCTACCCCATCACCGGACGCGTCCAGCTCGTCCCGCTTGCGCTGAATAAAATCACCATAAAGTTCACCGGCAAGTGGCAAATGAGCTAATGTGCCGGCCAAGTCAACAGACAGAAGGCGGGGTGTATATGTGGATTGGTTCTGATCATTTTGACCCTCTCTGTACAGAATGTCATTATTCGGTAAGCCTTGTTCGTCGACCTCGCCTTGGCCATCGTAAACAAAATTTGCCTCCTAGGGGAACAAACAAGATGAGAACAGATGCATTTCATTGACGGCTTTGAAGCTTACTTGTTGGTTCCAGAAATGGGCACCCACGTAATTCGCATAGGTACCGAATTGAAATGTCAGAATCTCACGTGTATGCGCCATGCCAAATAATTGTGGCAAGGATTACAAGAAAAATACGGCAATTTGCAAATCTCCCGCAGTTTGCAGTGTGTACACTACAAGCTTATACGAAATTGTAATGTGCACGCACTGGCGGTTAAATGCCATTCACTACGCACGAACCGCGCTGTACTTGAAATACAAACTTATTTATGTGTTTTAATAAATCATCAATTGCGAGTTTTTAAGGATGATAAAACTGGAAGTTTTTATTCACTTCAATATTTGGCTTTAACAAAATTTGCCTGTGTCACTGAGGCTAGTTCAGGGTTACTGAATGCCAACGCACACCTTCATGTACACACACCCACGTAAAATTATCAACTAGCAGCTGGTACATACATACAGTGACGAACAAAATTATTGGCACAGTTGGCATGTCTGACTTTCGCACAGTGTTTCTCCATGAAATATGGTAATATTTAAATAAAACAAATTTTATTCATATACATTGATCAATTTCCTACTAAAATTACTTTATTTCATTCATTTATAATTTTCCATTAATTTAAGAAAATTAAAAATATATAAAAACAGCCGTTTTCGCCTGAACAAAATTATTGGCACACTTGGGTAATATTGAACTATATTTTCAAAATTTCAACAATATGGCAAAATTTTTTTTCAAAACCCCGTTATGTTTATATTTGGAATGACATAGTTGTAAATGTTTGAGTTAAAAACCACGCAGTGCCTTTTTATAAGCAAAATCTCTAAGATTTTAACAAAATGAGCGGCAAACAAAAGGAAACCACTGAATCTCAGCGGAAAATAATTTTGTATTTGCATAATCAAGGCAAATCATATGCTGAGATTGGAGAAATTATGGATAGAAGCCGGTTTACCATTCAGAGCATTGTCCAGCGTTTTAAAGGAGCCTTAACATTGGAGAGTGCTAAGAACACTGGTCGACCCAAGGCTTTGACCGACCGGGAACGTACCGAGATCATCAGGAAGGTGAAGGTGAACCCAAAAATCTCTTCAACACAGATTGCAGCTGAGGTTAAAAATGAATTTGGAAAAGATATTCACCCGATTACGGTTCGGAAGACACTGCACAAAGCTAAATACAAGTGCCGTGTTGCTAGAAGAAAACCACTTATTTCAAAAGTCAACCAGAAGAAGCGCTTAGCCTATGCAAACGAATATTTGAGTAAGCCGATGGACTTTTGGAACAATGTCATCTTTTCCGATGAAAGTAAATTCAACATTTTTCAATCTGATGGCCGCCAAACTGTTTGGAGAAAGCCTAATACGGAACTGGAAAAAAAAAAAAACATCGCTTTGTCTGTAAAGCATGGTGGTGGAGGCGTCATTGTGTGGGGCTGCATGTCCGCTGGTGGTGTTGGCGAACTTGAATTTATAGAAGGAACTATGGACAAAAAGTATTATTTAGATATCCTTAAGAGAAATCTTTAAAAAATTGCCGAAAAGTTGAACATACCAGCCACATTCACGGTTCAACACGACAATGACCCAAAGCATACGGCTTATGATGTGCGCATGTGGCTTGCACATCATGTAAAACATACTTTGCCGCATCCGCCCCAATCTCCAGATCTAAACCCCATCGAACATTTGTGGGAAGAATTAGATAGACGTGTAAAAAAACGCGCTATATCTACAAAGGCCGAGCTGAAGGTGGCACTGGTGGAGGAGTGGCGCAATATTGGATCAGAAACCACTCAAAGTTTGGTTTCTTCGATGCCCAGACGCTTGGAAGCAGTCATTAAACATAAGGGCTTAGCCACAAAATATTAATTTATGTTTAAAAACGGTTATTTATGTTAATTTTAAGTATTTTTGGTTAAGTGTGCCAATAATTTTGTTCAGGCGAAAACGGCTGTTTTTTTATATTTTTAATTTTCTTAAATTAATGGAAAATTATAAATGAATGAAATAAAGTAATTTTAGTAGGAAATTGATCAATGTATATGAATAAAATTTGTTTTATTTAAATATCACCATATTTCATGGAGAAACACTGTGCGAAAGTCAGACATGCCAACTGTGCCAATAATTTTGTTCGTCACTGTATGTACACACATATGTATTTGTTCCACGTGCTAGTGCTGATCTGGCTGATGTACCTCTCTAATCCTTGTTGAGTATTAGAGCTAGATAACAATTCCATAGGAGTGCAATACACTGCACAAATATCACCTGGTAGTTCAGGGGCACGAATGTGAAATTGATGATCTGCGATGGCGGCCAGAGCATGTAATTCCGGCTTAAGATGAAGAAATATTTGTCCTTGATGCGTTCAATAATGACATCGGTGTTTTCACCGTTTACGAACGGGACCAAAAACGATAATGCCAGTGTAAAAGGCGGCGCAAAACAAACCTGGTCCCAAAGCATCTTCTTAATACCTCGCATTATAGGCGGCTGATCCTTTTTTACCAACGTCTCTAATGTACCATACCACTTGCGCATTACGGGACCCACCAGCAGCAGCCCCAAAGCACTGAAGCGAATTGTGCGTCCAGCGTCCCACTCACTAATCGATTTCTTCTGTATGCCCATCTGAGCAAGCATATCGCCTGCGCCCATAATGCAGGCCACATTGATTCCCTCGCGTATATAACCACGTAACGCGTTCATGGTTCCTTCTCCGGATTTGGTTTGCCGGATGTCAGCGTCTTGTTTTTTTTTTCTTAGGTCACGTTGTTTGCCAGTCGTCTATTTTGGTAGGCGCGTCCTCAAGTTCTCATATTCGTGGTAGGGTGCCTAAATTAAATGTAATGGCATATTAAACGGAACTAATGTAAGCGACCGAAGCGAATACCATAACATCTGAATTGAATTTTGGTCAAATCGAAACAGTGTTGCCTAACTTAATAAATTAGAGCAAATTCTCAAAACAACATTTATATACACACATTTCAAACTTGAATGTTTGTTATACTATGTACATTTATTTGCTTTGTCTATAAATTACCATTGCAATTTATGATTTGATCTACGATACAGTAATGTAAATAAATAATTTACCAACAAATTCCGATGAAAACCGACTCAATGCAAGCAACTTTAAGCCAATACAAGAACTACTTAAATATAAGGCCTTTTATTATAAAATAAGATTTACATTTCCAGAGTAAACCTTAATTATCTTTTATATCTAATTGCTGTCTATCTACTTCTCAACCCTTTATTGGAATTGATAGCAAACCGCTACTACACTTGCGGTTCCTTATGGGCTGTCAAACTATAACCGCTGATTTTTTTTCGGCCTTGTGTTTTTTAATTTTCTTACTGGGAGGCGAATCGGGCTCATTTTTTACCACAACATCGTCATCGCTGTCACCTATGAGGCTTAAGATATTATCCACGTCTTTCTCCGTCTCATACTCTCCCCCGTTGAAGCTATCATATGTTTGATTAAGATTTGGAGACACACCTGTGACTACCGTTTTTCGAATGGCGATTTCTTTTTGCTTCAGAGTCTTTGTGGTGGTCTGCAGTGCGTTGCGAGTTTTGTAGTAGTTAGCTGTGCGTCTTAATTGTGCCGTACACTTTGCACTTGTTTGGTCTGCTTCGCGTAGAACTTTAGCTATTTTTTTGGGCACCTCAATGCGCTTTTTGTAATCGCGGCCAAATAATGGATGGGAAACGATCACATTGAATGTCGGCGGTTCTCCAGCCTCTGGGAACGTATCTGGCTCCTGCTTTTGTGGTTCTTCCATATCCTGTTGATTACTCAGCACTATAGAACCGGACAAGGGCAATGCGCAGAGTTTGTATTTCTCTTTGGGATTCACATAACCAATTGCTGAGCGTAATGGCTGGGAGTAGATTGCAGAGCGCACCTGAATGTTGTCAAATGTGCGGCGTCCTGGAACTTTGATGCGCTTACCAGCAAGACTACTGGGATCCATTCCTCTTGGAATCTGCACTATCCACGCCTCATGTGTTTGTTCGTCGAAATCATTTAATATCTGGCCACAACATTCTGTAGCAAAGCTCTCTGCCTGCACCGCCATGTCTGAAGCATGCTCCTCCAAAAACCTGTCAATGCTCTCTGACAGAACTTGGCGAGCGCGTTTTTTCTCCTCTCTTTCCATTTAGATTTGAATTAAATACTGCCAAACTTAAACTTGAAAATGTAAATATTAATATCACGAAGCGCAACAACCGCACGTGTTGGATTGCCAGTGTTTGATAGGGCGCATGCGATGTTATACGATGCGTGCCCTTTTGGAAGTGACAGTGTTGGGTAAACACTCAAATTACATATTGGTCGTACAATTCATGATAGTAAACATCGATATGTCGAACATCGACGATGTTTTGACCACTATGCATTGATGTTTTCCGATGGTTTTTTTGCTAACGATGCATCGTCGATCCATCGATGTTTGTCCAAACATCGAACATTATTCATGTTTTGTTGGGCGGTCACATTTCTTTGTGTTATATTTTCCATCAAAAGTCATAAGAATATTGGTTTATTTCTTATTCTCTCAATGTTTCTATAAGGAAATAATTTTGTTCGATTAAAAAATAAAATAATCATTTTTTGCAGTCCCTGCTGTAAACACACTTATGGTCATATGTACATTGAATCACGCATCTTCTTACCTTCTTCATCACGACTCACATTTCGAGAAATTGTAGCTGCGTTTTGCAACACTAAACGACGGCCTTTTTGCTTTAGGGGCGAAAACGCGTGTGTGCGGTTCTTGGTGCCTTTGTAGCACGCAATTATAATTTCATCGCTGATCATGAGCGCAGAAGGCAAACTGTTGCAGTTCCATGAACTGGAATTGGACCCGCGTATTCTTAAGGTAAATAAAGCTCTGTGGGATAAGGAAGAACACAACTAACAGAAATTTATTTTATTTGTTAGGCCATTGCGGACCTCGGATGGAAGGAACCGACGCTTATACAGTCGACGGCAATACCGCTCCTGTTAGAGGGCAAGGATGTCGTAGTGCGTGCGCGCACTGGTTCTGGCAAGACAGGCACATATGCGTTGCCGCTTCTACAGAAAATTCTTAACTCTAAGCTTAATGCCAGCGAGCAATGCGTGAGTGCATTGGTGCTGGCGCCCACCAAGGAGTTGTGCCGACAGTCGCGTATCATCATCGAACAGCTAGCTGAATCTTGTGGCAATGTTATACGAGTTGCAGACATAGCTGGCAGCTCCACAGATGCCGTTACTCAGCGTCATGCACTCGCGGAGCGACCAGACATTGTGGTATCGACGCCAGCCAAAATACTTGCGCATGCAGAAGCCGGCGGCGTTGTTGATCTTAAAAAGATAGAAACGCTAGTGGTAGACGAGGCAGATCTAATATTTGCCTTCGGCTACGAGAAGGACTTCAAACGCCTGATCAAATACCTTCCGCCCATTTACCAGGCAGTACTTGTCTCGGCCACTATCACCGATGATGTTGCGCGCATGAAAGGGCTCTGTTTGCACAATGCCGTCACACTGAAGTTGGAGGAGCCAGAACTGGTGTCGCAAGAGCAATTGACGCATCAGCGCATCTTGGCCGAAGAGAACGACAAGCCAGCCATATTATTCGCGTTGCTGAAGCTGCGTCTCATTCGCGGCAAGAGCATTATATTTGTGAACAATGTGGATCGCTGCTACAAGTGAGTACGGTCCTATAACCCTAGCAAATTTTAAGTTAATAACCAAATTAAAATGCCACATGATGTCAAATGCTTGTTAACGGAGTGCGCAGCTGGCAACAGTTGGCGCACGCATGACCAGTCGACTAATCTTCTCGCTGATGGTTATAACAACAAGCGGCAGCTCTTAATACAATACTTCTTGCTGCTTTCACTAAAGCCTTTTAAATTTATGTTACAGGGTGAGGATTTTTCTGGAGCAGGTCGGCATACGCGCCTGCGTGCTCAACTCTGAACTGCCGGCCAATATACGCATTCATACCATCAGTCAGTTCAACAAGGGCACCTACGACATCATTATTGCCTCTGACGAACAAATGCTTGAGCAACCCGGTCTGAAGAACAAGAAGCACAAGCCCCGCAACGACTTCGAATCGAGCGCCTCGCGTGGCATTGACTTCCAGTGCGTCAATAATGTCATCAACTTTGATTTTCCACCCGATGTCACTTCCTATATACATCGAGCTGGTCGCACGGCGCGTGGCAACAACAAGGGATCCGTACTGTCGCTGGTCAGCATTAAAGAGGCGGCTGTCAACGATGCCGTAGAGGATAAGTTGCGCGAGACTTTCGCTTTGCAGAACGTGCAGGTGATCAAGTGAGTAATTCAACAAAAACTGCACCACTGTCATCAGACTAACCCTGTTATTGGTTTACCCTTTAGGAACTATAAATTTAAAATGGAGGAAGTTGAGGGATTTCGCTATCGTGCTCAAGACTGTTGGCGTGCGGCCTCACGCGTTGCCGTTCACGATACACGTATGCGAGAGATCAAGACCGAGATCCTCAACTGTGAAAAACTGAAGAGTTTCTTCGAGGAGAACAAGCGGGATCTGCAGGCGTTACGACACGATAAGCCCCTGCGCACCGTCAAGGTGCAATCTCATCTCACGCAGGTGCCCGAATACATCGTGCCCAAGGTACTGAAACACTGCGTCAACACAACCGTCACACACGATGCGGCGACGGTCAGCAAGCGGCCACGCATGTCCAGCGCCAAGGCTGCCTTCGAGCGGCAAACCAACGATCCCTTGTTGGTCAGTCAGGTGGACTATGGAAAAAAAGGAAAGCACAGGCGCAAGCAAGCCAAATAGACTTCTAGAGTGTACGATTAGTCTGTAGCGCCTAGATGTATGTACCTATGAGCAGTGATCCAAAGTCGCTTTGGTTCACGGCTTAAAATGCCTTTTAAACCTGTTTGTGTATAGAAAGTGTCACTATTAAAACCTTCTGCTTCATGTTATGAAATTAATGAATGATTGAAAGTATTTTGGAATTTTGGACAGATCTATCATATTATTGGATATAGCTTTACTCTGATTTTACACTATTGTGATCTGACCGACGAGCCCATTTGTTGAATGGACGTGTCTGTTCGTCAATTTCTATGCATCAAGAACAGTCCGATTAAAAGTATATATGGGAGATAATTAAAAATAAAATTTACATTAATTTTGATTTATTTTTTTGGAGGTGTGGTAGAGAGAGAAAGGTTAACAGAGAGCGCAACCACTGCGGATGTTCAGTTGAGACGATGCACGTCCACAGCAGATGTATAAATTACGAGATTATTAGGTCTAATCTTCAGAAACTTTTGACTGATGAGCCAAAGACCTGGAGGATAGCTTCATTCGAATCCAGAGACTTGTTTAAGACATTAAAAAAAATTTATTTTGCGTTTTTTCTTATTAATAAATACAATGATCTGTTCATTTCTCTTCGTGTATACATAGTATTCTCTATATGTATGTTTATGCATCTGCCATATATGTATGTATATATAACTATGTATGTATGTATATCTCATCATTATGCGTAGTGTATATTTAATTACTTATCCAAATATTTGTATTGTTGTGGTTTTGTGTATAACAAATATTATATATAAATATTTTATTGTTTTTCTGGGTTGTTTTCTTCCGTTTTCTCGTTTGCCTGGTTTCTTAAAATATATATTTTGCATCTCCTTTAAAGTTACTGTTTTTGTTTGTTGTGTTTTTGTTTTTTACAAATTCTTCTTTGATTTCTCGACAATGCGCTTTCTACTTTTTTTTGTACGTTTTGCTTCTCGTTTCTTTAAAGCTTACAGTATTAGAGGGGGCGGAAAGACAGAGTGGGAGGCTGGGAAGGTTCTTATGCATGTACAATCGGAGCGATACAGGCATAGGAAGCGAGAGAGAGAGAGAGATAGATGAAGGAGGAAAACAACATGCATAAAATGGCGCGACGAAACAAAACATCTTAATATTATTTGCACTACAAGCTACTGCAAGGAAAAGACGGGAGCACAAGCTCAGATACACACCGCCAGTGTGTGTGTTTGTGTGTGTGCGTATGCTCGCGCTTGTTTCTGGGAATGCTATGGCGTTGCACTGGGGATTCCATTACCCATTAATCAGCCCAGTTTGCGTCGTCGGCCGGTCGGTAATGTTGAAGCGGTGGGCGCCACCACTGGCAGAGCCAAAGCTACAGGCGCACCACGTCCTGGTCCAGCATACTGCAGGTGCTGCACCACCGAGAGCTGCGGCTGTTGTTGCTTTAGTAGCTTGGCAGCCGCATGCGCCTCAGCCGCAACCACTGGATGCACCAAGTCGGGAGCAGCGCTGCTGCTAGCATTGCCGTTCTCGCAATCATCATCGTCTGAGATCAGTGATATGCTTAAGTCGCTCGACAGCTTCAGCGATATGGGAACAGGCGGCGAGGGTACCACCAGAGGCGCCACCTTGGCGCGCATTGCTGGCGATAGTTTTTGCAGCTGCTCGGGCAGCAGGTCCTGCGCGTATTCGGGCACACCGCTGGAGGCGAGACCTTCACGCAGCTTGCTCAGCGACAGCTCATAGATGCGATTTGCAATAACTGTGTGTACGGTGGTCTCGTCCGGCAATGTGGCCGCTATGGCGCTGCCAACGTCCACATCTAAATAGCCATGTGTATGGCCATGACCATGGCCGTTTGCCGTGGACGTCGTGGTTGCTGAGGTCGAGGTTGGCGTGCTGCAGCTATTGGGCTCGCCGTGGAAGGGCGAGTAAAGCGCCTGCTGCCGCCGACGCTGCTGTCGCGCATAACAGTTGGCAGTGGTGGCATTGCGCGGCACCAGCGACACGGTTACCTCCTCTACAGTTTCGGAGAGCGTGAGTGGGGCCAGAGGCGGTGGTGAGCGTAGCAGCGGTCGTTGCAGTTGCGGTGGTCGCTGCCGCATGCCCATCTGAATATCGTTGCTCCCCTGGTCGTCGTCATCGCTGGTCAAGACTATGCTGTCGGCCACTGTGGGCATTGTAGTGGATGTGACATGCTCGTGGCGCTTGCGTGGCTTTGGCGCCTTGCGCTGTCGCTTGACATCAGCCATGCCAATGATGTTGTTGTTGTGGTTGCTACTGCTAGTCGCGGGCATCAGTAGCATTGTGGAGCTCTGCGCTGGCGCCACTTGCACAGGGACCAGCGTAATGTTGGGCACCATAGATAACTGTAAGCTGGCTGGGGCTTGTACATAGAAACTGCCACTGCTTGATGGTGCTGGTGCCTTTACCGGCGGCTGCACTGCTTTTGGATTCAGAGCGCTGGGGCTCTCATCATCCGATAGCAGATCTATAGTTATATCCGCGGGCAGGGCGGCAGCCACGCGTCGGCGGGGCAGCAACTTTTCAGTCTTGGAGGCTAACGCATTGGAGCGCAACTGCGCCATATAGAACTGTTTGCGCGCACGCAGGCGCTCCATCCAGCGGGAGTGCCGTCGCTTGAGACGTTTGTTGTCAAACAGTTTGGGCGAGATGTAGAATGGGTCGGAATGTTTGTGATTCATGGCTGCAAACCAAAAACAATGGAAATATTAAGTGGAACTGTGCATTTTATTGACCAGCTTGTGGTTACTTCGATGTCTACTCACTGTTTTTGTTGTTGCTTCTTTATCGACTTGCGGTTTCAACTGCTAGTCCGACACTTCAGCTTACGGGGCGTTGTTGTGGATGCGGATGTTGTGGTCGTTGTTTGGCAGCAGCTGTTGCAGTTTCTGTCGCAACAGTGCCACCGCCGCCTGCACCACCAACACAATTACAGTTAGTTCTGCTGGTGTTGCTTCTGCGGCGGTTACAACTTGCATAATTACGCCCCAGGCCCCTCGAACTACACTGCAGCACTCCGGCGTCGGCTGCACGGAAACGCGCTGCTCGGTTGGTGGTCGTCCTTGTCTTCAGGCGCACTGTCCGCTCCACTGAAACATTTTGCGCGTGCGTCTTTATCTCTATGCGAATCGCTGTTGCAATTTTGTTTCGTTTTTAGTTTTGCGCACGCCTTTTACTGGCTGGTGTTGCGTTTCTTGTTGTAAATTTTCGTGATTCTGTTTATTTTGGCGTAGGGCTGTATATCGGTAGCGCTGCTGTCGATTTTATGCAGCGACACCTATCGACCGCTATCGACATGCCAGACATGCAGCAATGTGCTTGGGTTGCTGTCTGGGCTAAGCGACAGTACGTTACTTTTTGAAAAAAAAAAAACAATCGTAACAGCCTATGCTGCATATAGTGAAAATATAAAAAATGAAGTACACACTCTATTTTCAAATCAGCAATTATAAAGTGCCATTTAAACCAAACCCGATTCCACTTACCTTATCGCTTGTACTTTTTTTGTTTTAATATATGTTGTACTTGTACGTCATACATGACATAAGGGATGGGAAAGAGTGATAAAAAAAATATGCTAGAAAATTAGCGCCACCCACAAACTGTCGGCTCGTCTTTTTATAGTCGAGCATGCGCCACACATTTGAGTGAAAACAGCGGAAAGCTTTTACTCGCCCAGTCGAGCTTTCACTCCAATTGTGAGCGCGATTGACACAAAATCTGGGGCAGGATCATACCGTTCATGACATTTAAGCCACCGCCACAATTACTTGTATATATTGTAGGCCATGTATTATTTATGTATTCTTCTTAGTAATAATTAGTAAGAATAAGCGAGAACCTGGAGTGTTTTTTAAGTAATAATTAGTAAAAATAAGCCAGAATCTCGAGTTTTTTTTACATTTTAAAAAATATTTTATTTAGTTACATATTTTCTGCACATGTTTATTTAGTTTTTGATTTTATTTATAAATTTTTATCTTTTATTGTTGTTGTTAATATTAAAGTAATTTCTTTGTTCCCATTTGTGATTTAAATTTCTTTTGTTTTAATTAGTAAGCTAAAATGTCAGCCTTTAGTTGATATTAATAGCTCGTTAGATTTATCGTCTATTCTCAGAGATGGTCCTTATTGGAAATTATTAAATTATAAATACGAGGAAGTACAAGATCACTAATCTAGACCCACGAAACAATCCAGTTAGAAGCGAAATCTGGATTAATCGTCAGTGAATGAAAATAATTATAATTCCTTTTTTTCAACAACTTCATAAGTTCGTAGTATTAGCATAGGTTTTCGAAAAACGAAATATAGATCACATAAATAACTTCTAGAGGACTATTCGAGTAATAACCAATATGTATATATTAACTAGAGTTTATTATAGTAGTAGCATAACTAAACAAGAATTAACCAAAAAAAATGAAAAGAATGAAATAAATTAGTACCAAAAACCATAAACCAAAAACCACCTTTACGAAATATAGTATCTATATCGGCTCTGCATGTGGAGACGTACAGTCACGTTGATCGGGGGTTCCCTTGGCCATATCATAAGAGTACCAGAAGAGGAATTTTTATATTAAATATCGACTTTCAAAGTTCTTGTGCATATGTTTTACAAACGAAATAGAATGAAACAAACCTACAAAACATTTTTATGAACAGCAACAACTCATAGAACTTTGAACAGATGGTACATTTTTTATATGGAGGCGGAATCAAATGTTAGCCTCGACTACAAATAATCTTTTTCAGCAACAAAACCCTTAAATTCAAAGCATGGCCAACCTGAATCCTGAATTCGAATACCTTTTAATTAACATATCGATCATCTCAGGTGGCCTAAAACATTGAATTACGAAACAATCAACGAAATCTTCACACATTATATGTGTAATATTGTATTGTGTATTGCATTCTTGTTGCTCGAATTGAAAGATGTTGAAGCTAAAAAAGAAACGAAGATGGTCTTTCAAATAGCTTCCAAAAGCTTCAAAATAATAAATTGTCTTTAAAATAAAGCATACAGTTAAGTTAAAGGTATTGTAGTGATTCCTTAGCTGTGCGATTTGTTTCGTATTTTCTAGATGGCAAAATACATTAAGAAGATGATGACAATTTTAAACCGACATAGCTATATGGCCTAAGGGAGATGAATAACTCTGTATGTTCCTTTATTTTGGCTTATACGAGTAAGCCCAAGTTTTGTCTAATGACCAAATGCTTTGCGCGATTGAAGCTAGTACAAGTAGAAAGGACCCTAATGATAAGTATTCAAGCGATGCGCAGAATGCCGAACCATTTGAATGAAACTTAAACGCGAAAAACTCTCAATAGACAGAGAAATGCCGCGAACGCGGCGCGGGGTGGACAGAGGGGGTCAAAGGTGAAAGCGCACCAGAGATCTGCTTTAAAAATGCATGCAAAATGCTCATTTTACTAACGGAAAGCAAAACTAAGTGGGCTGTCGAGGCTGAGGCAGTAGTTGCCGATGAGCGGGGCTAGGAACGGGGCTAGGGACGGTGGCACCAGTGGAAAATGTGAAGAAACGGCGTAAAGACAATAGACAGGAACCACAACAAAAATTATAGACTCAACTTGGCTTGACTTGACTTGGCGCGATGCGCTTGACTGCCATTACCGTCGTCATTGCACACTGGGATGAAAACTGCAGAACCCAAAGCCAATTCAATTCAAACAGTTTCGAATTATACACATACAGACTTATTTATAGTTTATATCCATAACAGCTATTATTAATTAATTAACACGATTTTAATGTAGCATTTGAAACTATTTATCGCACTCCAGTTAAATTAAACTAAATATTAGTTCATTGAAAATTTCGAACAAGTGGTTTTTAAAGATTTCTCTCACATTAATTGGGAAATGTTTTTTTTTTAACTCAGGACTGATCATTGCGGAGTTTCAGGGTGAATTGAGAATATTTTTATAAATTGCGTTACTAAAATGAAGGTAAGATTTTGAGAAAAATCAATTCTAAATAGTATATAGTATAAAATGATTTGTGTTTGTGATCTCTCTAAATTGACGAAAAATATTTCGTTTAAATAGAAAATCATTTTTATACCCTGTACCCAAAGGGTACAAGGGTATATTAGTTTTGTGCGAGTGCACATGGAACACACAGAAGGAGGCTTGGTAGACCCCACAAAGTATATATATTCTTGATCAGCATGACAAGCCGAGTCGATATAGCCATGTCCGTCTGTCCGTCTGTCTGTCCGTCTGTCCGTCTGACCGTCTGTCTGTCTGTCTGTATGAACGCAAGGATCTCCGAAAGTATAAGAGCTAGAATAACCAAACTTGGTATACAGATTCTCCTGAGACCGAGAAAGGACGAGTTTGTTAATTTTTTCTGATCCGCCCCCCCCACTCCCCCCCTATTACTGATTTTCTATAACTCCCGTAATTCTTGGAATTTTGAGCTAAAATTTGGTAGTCACATTAGGTTAGTAATTATATATCCGTATACCAAGTTTCATTATGATAAAATGATCGGAAAGAAAGTTATAGCCATATAACCAGGCCCAATGCACACATACATACATATGTACAAGTACACAAACACGCATAAGGCACGATTCTGATGTAAATGTAAATGTATGTATGCATGCATGGAATATTTTATATTTAATTAGTTAATATTTAGTTAATTAATTAAATTAATTTAGTTAATTAATTTAATTTAATTAATTAATTAATTAAATTACTTTTTTATGGGGTGGTACAGGGTATTTAAGAGTTGAGCCTGCTCGACTTTAGCATTCCTTTCTTGTTTTTTTCTTAAATATAGAACTTTTTTTTGTAAAGTCATTTGAGACATATTATAAGCTGTGTCTAATTCTAATTTCTTTGTGCTGTCTGACTTGCATTTGTTATTGCTGGTTGATCTTAATATTAAATTACTCGAAGTACTCCTAATGTTCATCTATAGGTACAGGATGAGCACTGAGTCGATTCGTAACTCTAGCGCGTTAATAAGCATACTCCACATTTGAGATCTTATCGAAGTACGGACAGATGATGTAGATGATTAAAATGCTTATTGTGAGGATTTAATAAAATGTTTGAGTATGAACGATAGGAAGCAAATTTTCTTTGCCATATTGGGTGTGCACAGTTGTGTGGGAAATAGGGCATCTGTTTGTAGTAAGAGTGCATCGGATAGCATTTCCAATTACCGTTGACCGCCTATCGAAATTGTTCAGGCCTTAATTGTATGCTTGGATTTAAAATTTGTTTAACATATTGTACTCGTACGACCCACAGTGCATTGTTTTCTTTGTCGACTACGTGGCCGCCCACGGTTTGGCAGACACTCTTTCCGTTGCCCTGTGCTGTTTGCCTGTTCGTCTGTTTGTCTGTTCGTCTGTTCGTCTGTTTGTCTGTTTGTCTGTTTGTGCATTGTGCCTCGGCCGCTTAAATCCACGGTGCATGCTGCACGGTGCTAGGTGCTAGTTGCACGAAGAAGCATTCTGGGTGGCGCATTTAGGCGCAACAGCAGCGCACACAGACGTAACCGTAATCGACTCAAGCTCGGCGAGACGGGGGCGAGACCGGCAAACGTTTCCTGCCTGCCTGCCTGCCTGCCTGCCTGCCTGACTCGCTGTCCCCTACCCTGACGACGACTTGGGCTGCCCTCTGCATTAAAATAAATTTCTTTTGTGTGCGTTTTGCTTCGAGACGTTCCAACTGAAGTCGGGAGGGAGCTGGGCACTGCTGCTAGTCTGGTAGTTGCAGTTGCAGCTCGGGATAAGGCTATAGAAGCAGTCGACTCGAGCCGAGCCGAGCCGAGTCGATTTGAATGAATGCACGTACCAGCAGTATTTGTAGCGGCTCTGCGGGCTCAGACTCAGACTCAGACTCTGACTCTGACTCAGGCACTGGCTCTCCTTAAGCGTCATCACCCTCATCATCATCATAATCATCATCAGCATCGCCAAAGGAGTTGTCTTCGTAGTCGGTGTCCTCGTCGTCGTCGTCGTCATCATCGGCGTGGGCGCCTCGCGTTTTAAGTGTTTGTATTTTTCAGGTGTTGAATTTTCATTGTGCTTGTCTTTGCTTACAACCATTGTTGCTGTTGTTTTTGTTGTTGTGTGGATTTTGGTTTGGCTGGTTGCTTTTTTTTTCTCCCTTTGTATTTGTTGGCATTACGCCAAATGTGCAAAGCCAA